GGATGGATGGATGGATGGATGGATGGATGGATGGATGGATGGATGGATGACCAAAAAGCTGATTTTCCGGTTAATTAATCATTAATATCATACCCGATACAGATAACTCGTTTGGAGAAACAGAATTTAATTCTGACTGATTCATGAGCTAAGTTGGGTTTGGCCAAGACCAAAGTAGATTGCTGCCTCCTTAAACCAGCTCCAATCTCAAATATTTCACGCAAACACTATTGTACAAACCTTTACATTGTCGTAAATTTTATGTCACACAGTTTTTCTAGCAGAAATATAATATTCCTGTCAGCTTGGCCCCAGGCTGCATCAGAAACAGCTGCTGTTGCTAAACAATCACAGATTCATCCTTAATTCCATAAAGTGACACTGACAGCAGTGAAAATGTTTATAAACCAGCATTTGCAAGAATCTCTTTTAAAAGATTTTATTTTAAGGCAGCAGAATGGAACTTTAATCTTGACTTTTCTCAGATTTGCCTTTACTGCATTAATCTAATCAAAAGTAAAAATTTGTTTGTGCAAACTGAGGCCTTTCAATGAGCTATCTACAGCAGGTAATATGTTAACTGTTCGCAATCTTTCCACTGAACCCCACTTCTAAAAGTCTGAGCTGTTGCTTGAAAAAGTGACAAATCTGTCATAATTTAAAAAAATATCTTGGCTGAAACAGCTGAAAGTATAACGCTAAAGACGTTTTTCAGTGTACTTTGTGACATCTCTGATTCTAAATAATCTGTTTAGAGATTTGTTCCCTCTCTGACTTCTTCATGCTTTTCCCATTTTTAAAAAGCCAATTCAGCGCTGATATAGTGATTATCCACGTGATTATTCCCACATCTCTGCCTTCTAATCTGCTAAACTTGCACTGGCTCATTAATTTGACACGGATGATGAGCTGAACCGCCTCCCCCGACACACAGCTCCCTCCACCCTTCACCACTTGCTCGCTGATGTTTGCTGTGTGACTTTTCTGTGGCGAGGAGACGGTAAACAAGCAGAAAGGAGGATAAGGACTGAGCCAAACAGTCAAGACGAGACGGGACTCTCCAGTCAGCTCTGGATGCTGCGAGCTTCCAAACCCACTGAAGACATCTGAGGTGACAACATTCAAAAATAAAATAGTGCTTGTTTTATTTATTAAAAAAATTCAACAGTGTTTTGAAGGGGAAAAAAAAATCCAAATCTGTGATGAAATCCTTTTTTATGGGCAGAGCTGCTCTGACTGATCAGAAAAGAGAAGTAAAAGAAGGGATGAAGTGATAGCACAACTTCTTAGACAGTTTTTCCATTTCTCCCTCTGACAGCACGAGTCAAACTGTTTCATGGCACACACACACATTGTGCTCTTCAACCTGCAGGTTCGGAGTTGATCCAGGATGCTGGGCTACATCCCACTGATGCTGGGGGTCGTGGCCTCGGCTGCTTCAGGTAAGACTGGACACACGCTCCCATTGTATATTTTTGTCTTACTTGTTAGATATACTGCCTTTTTTATACTGATTATCGTCTATCGTGGGTTTAAATGGGTCCAAAGAAACATTGTATAAGGTTCAAGTGCAACACATTTTTCTGTGAATCACACTGATCTAATTACATAAATATACTAAAAAGATCTGTGTAAGAGGATTTAACAATTAAATTGTATAGTTTATGGCAAACACTCACTGTCAGTAATCATTATGGGTATTTGCAAAAGCATTTTTGCTTGTAATGTGTTTTTGACGCCATTCTTAAGACATTTTTGTCTTTGTTCTGTATTTATAGTCAGCTCTGAACATCTTGTAAACAAAATTCACCCACCAACGATTATATTTCAGTTTTTAATTACATTTAAACATCATTTGATGTTTAATTTGATCATGACTGAACTGTGCTCTCCATTGGAGCAGAGCTATAACTGAGGAAATGTTCAGTTTTGAATGAACGATTGAATCAGATAAGTGCGCGAGGAGGAAGGTAGCTGTTTACAGAAACTCAAGAGGTTCGCCGCAGAACTGCTGATTGGCGTGAAACTGATTTCATTCCGAGTTTCTCTCTGATATTGATGCAGTGGATAGAAATATGCTGAACGTGGAATCTCAGTTCTCCTTCGAGATTCAAAATGCACACGGTCCAAAAAGGCTTTAATGGAAACTTTTATAACCTTACTGAAAGTGAAGGCAAAGCTCAATGAGCGCTGCAGATAAGAGTCTCTTCAGTATCAGGGATTTTTACTGAAATCCCAAGAAGTTCTACACGTGTCTCAAAAGTCTACACAATCCGTCCAATCCATCAAAGGAGTACTGTGTCGTTTCAACAAATGTTTTTTTCCTGAGGGTTCAAATCTTTTTTTAGGACTTTGTCCTTCACAGATGTCAGGATTTATTACTCTCACTTCCAATTTGAATCATCTCTTGAATGTGCTTCTTGTTTTATTTTATTCAGGGTTTTTTTGTTGTTTTTTTTGGTGTTGATCACTAAAAACAATATATAAATTCACTAATTCATTCAACCTTTGTTTATAAAGGTTAGTCTCACTGAGTCACGAGGACTCGTTTTCAAGAGAGACCTGTTTTAGACAAACTACAGATGACGTACACAAGACAATAAACAGCCATGAAATGCATATAAAATAAAAAGTAAATAAAAGTAGTGATATAAAACTAAATAAAATCAAGCTACGTTATGAAATGAGGTAAAATACTAAAAACAGGAACATGTCTGTGTTGATTTTTGCATTGAACTTAATTATTTAAAATCCCTTAGAGAGGTCAAGGTCGAGAGCTTAAGATCTTTTTGCAAGGTATTCCAGGTTACAGGAGCAGAGTAAGAAAAGGCCTTTTTGTCGAGTTCAGTCCACAGTGAGGGGACACTGCAGGTAATAATGTCCTGAGAGCGCACGCTGTAGCTGCACTGATGATGTGACATAGGTAGAGATGTATGAAGGGAACAGACCAAGAAGTGATTTAAAGATGAAAATGTACCAGTGAGAGAGTCTACGTGAAGTTAATGATGTCCAGTTAACCAGTGAATACAGGGTGCACTGGTGGGTATGATAGTTCCAGCCAGTTATGAATCGTAATGCACCATGGTAGACAGCGTCCAACATCTGCAGGGTGCTTGTAGGAGCATTCATGTAAATAATGTCACCGTAGTCAATTGCTGATAGGAAAGTAGCAGCTACAAGACATTTCCTAGCATTCAAAGTTAAGCAAGATCTACTTCTAAAAAAGAAACCCAATTTTAAATACAACAGCAACAGGTGGGAAACTTTCCATAATTAATTTTAGTGTCTATCTCTGTTGAGATAGTTACAGTTTGAAAAGCAGAAATGAGAATTAAATACAGATGTTTCCAGGTTCCATGAAATTGCTTCCAAACTAAATCTGACTCATCAATCAAAGGAGATGGAGAAAAGACTAAACTGAAAAACAAATTTAAGAGAAAAAAGTGGGATTCTGTAAATGTTCAGTGGATGTAATATATATATTTTTTACATTCTTCTTTTTCAGTCGAATGGAGGCGTCCGGTGATCGAATTCAATTCTAAGTCGGTGGGGGGTTCTGAAGTGGTGATCATGCCTGGGAGTCGTCTGTTACTGATGTGTGAGGGTGACGGGCCTGTGCACTGGCACCCCAGGCTAAAAAAACACAAACGTCATGTGTCTAAAGGCAGCGGGAATGTCCGCATTTTAAAGGTGGACAGTCCTACAGCAGAATTCACAGGAACGTATACATGCTCTTACACGGCTGAATCCAAGGACAGCAATCTGACCACCTCCGTACACGTGTATGTGAAAGGTGAGTTGGACTAAATGAAAACAGAGTCTCTATTGTAGGAAGTGACTTTTAGCCACATTAGTTCATTGTTCTCCCTCTTTAAGATCCACAACGTGTGTTCTGGACCAGCAGCACTTCTCTGCGAGTGGTGAGGAAGGAGGGTGAAGAGTACATGCTGCCCTGCCTCCTGACAGACCCATCAGCCACGGAGTTGAGCCTCCGCATGGATAATGGCACCTCCAACCCACCAGGAATGAACTTTACTGTGGATAGGCACCGAGGCATTCTAATCCACAGCCTCCACCCCAGCTTCAACGCTGACTACGTCTGCACAGCCAAGGTCAACGGGGTAGAAAAGACCTCTAAGGCTTTTTCTATCAATGTTATTCAAAGTAAGATCAAATTGCGCTCTAAAACGTGCATAGAATTTTGAAAGCATCTCCTCCTCTCTTTTAACATCCTAATATGATGTCTTCTTGCTCCCAGAGCTTCGTTTACCTCCATACGTCTTCTTGGAGACAGACGAGTATGTGCGCATTGTTGGGGAGGAACTCAAGATTCGCTGTAAAACGCACAATCCTAACTTCAACTACAACGTGACGTGGAAATACGCCACCAAATCGGTCAGTGCAAAGCAAAGTTTAAGCTTGACAGTGATACTTTTCTGGACTGTAGCTCAATTTTGGTCTTGTGTTCTTAGACGCCAACCATAGAGGAGATGGTTCGCTCCGATGGGGAGAATCGTCTGGCTATACAGAGCATTCTGACCATTGCTGCTGTGGACCTCGCAGACACAGGAAACATCTCCTGCATTGGTACTAACGAAGCTGGGGTGAACAGTACAACTACGTACCTTCTGGTTGTGGGTGAGCCACAGGAGAACAGCCTTATCTACCATGCTTGATGCTGACAATTGGCAAAAAATCAGTGAAGATAAAAACTCCAATTATGTCTTTCAAACAGACAAGCCCTACATCAGGTTGTTGCCCCAGCTCTCACCCAAACTATCCCACCGAGGTCTTTCGATTGAGGTGAACGAGGGTGAAGATCTGGAGCTCAACATGCTCATCGAAGCCTACCCTCATATCACCGAACACGGATGGGACACCCCGACATCTCCCAGCCCTTCCACTCAGGAACAAAGCTTCATCAAATACAACAACAGGTGACGTAGCAAAGCTCAGTGGCCAAAACTACAGATTGTTTTTGACCCTTCTGCAAAAAGAGGAAGCTGCTCTAAAAATGCTGCCAGTGCGTTTTCTGTGAGTTTGACCAGGAAGGTCAGTGTATCTCCACTCAGGTCATAAAAGTAGAAGAGGGAAGAGATCTGTTCTGTTTTTGATTTGTGCTGGACGATGATGCACAGGAACGGTCTGAAGTCAAAACCACACAGTTAGTCACTTCTTATTTAATAGACATTCCTCTTTTTTGTTGTGTTAGATACCACGCCAGTCTGCAGCTGAAGAGACTGAACATACAGGAGCAGGGCCAGTACACTTTCTATGCAAGCAGTGCTTTGACAAATGCATCTATCACATTTCAAGTCCAAATGTACCGTAAGTGACATAAATCTAGACCTACAGCAAAACTCTTCAGTAAGTCCTACTGTCAGTTTATTCAAGCTGAGTTCCTTTTTGTGCAACAGAGAGACCTGTGGCTGTGGTGAGATGGGAAAACATAACCACGCTGACTTGCACCTCATTTGGCTATCCAGCTCCAAGAATTGTTTGGTACCAATGTCTCGGAATACGACCAACGTCAGTACAACTTGGCTGTAAAAATGAACAATAACACATTTTTGGAGCAAATGTTCAACACAACTGTTCCTGTAAGCATTCGTTTCTTTCGTCAACAGGTGCAATGAAAACACCTCAGGGTTGCAGTTGGCGATCCCCCTCCAGGCTCCTACTGTGGAGGTCCAGAGGGAGGAGAATGGAGCTGTGGAGGTGGAGAGCGTCCTCACCGTAGGAATGGCTAACCAGAGGATGACTGTCGAATGTGTGGCTTTCAATCTTGTTGGCGTCAGCAGAGACACTTTTGCAATGGAGGTTTCCGGTGAGTGTACAATATTTTGTGGATCACAAAGTCTGTCTATACAAGTAAAAGCATTCATGAAGGTTTTCATCTGATTGGACAGATAAGCTCTTTACTACCGCCCTGAGCGGAGCTGCAGGAATTCTGGCAATCCTCCTGGTGCTGCTGGTTTTCCTTCTTTACAAATACAAACAGGTAAAGTTCAATTTCATCTGTGAAACCTCAATCGAATTACTAGTTAAATATTAAGCAAAAGGGAACAATTGTTTTCCTCACTTTGATTTAAGACTGCACTTTTCAGAAACCCAGGTTCGAAATCCGCTGGAAGATCATTGAGGCAAGAGATGGCAACAACTACACCTTCATCGACCCGACCCAACTGCCATACAACAACAAGTGGGAGTTCCCCAGAGACAAACTCAAACTAGGTTAAAAACTTATAAAGCTCTAATTAGAACTGTTGCGCATATAAAAAGAATGCTGTGATCACTAAACCTTTGTTTGGTGTATTGCGGGCTTCAAACAGGAAAGATCCTGGGCGCAGGTGCGTTCGGAAAAGTTGTTGAAGCCACAGCTTACGGTTTGGGGAAAGAGGACAATGTGCTGCGCGTGGCTGTGAAAATGCTAAAAGGTAAATTTATATGAGAGACAAGCATCAAAACCCAACATCGCACAATTGTTTTTCTCACATTGTTAGTGTTAGATGATGGTTTGGTGTTGTCTCGGTCTGTCCTGCGTGTTTGCAGCCAGGGCCCATTCTGATGAGAGGGAGGCTCTGATGTCCGAACTAAAGATCCTGAGCCACCTCGGACACCACAAAAACATTGTTAATCTACTCGGAGCCTGCACTTATGGAGGTCAGACAGTAAAAGAAAAAAACATGCTTACCAAAGTTTGTTCAGTCCCTGCCAAATAAACAGTTGCTAAGTGCTCGAAGAAACACATTTCAAGAGCTGTAACGTGGTGTGTTTGCTCATCAGGACCCGTGCTTGTGATCACTGAGTACTGCAGCTTCGGTGACCTACTGAACTTTCTTCGTCAGAAGGCAGAGACGTTTGTAAACTCTGTTATGAATATTCCAGACGATGAGGAGAACTCTAATGATTACAAGAATGTTTGCAGTCAGAGGGAGTTTATTAGAAGGTACTCTGACAAATGTGCATCCCAGTGAAAGGAGATGGACGATATCCACTCACTGTGATCTCTTTTTGTCTTCCAATAGTGACAGTGGGATCTCCAGCGCTGCCTCCAGCACTTACCTGGAGATGAGACCCAGCCAGCTGCCAAACACAGAACCAGGTATACTCCTCAATAAAGATTCAACTGCAGAACAGAAGCCCAAACGAAAAAATGGGTAGCCACTTTTTGTGGGTAATGTATTTTCCTGATCCTTAGAGTCTGCCTGTGAGGAGAATGGTGACTGGCCGCTGGATATAGATGACCTGCTGAGATTCTCCTTTCAAGTAGCTCAGGGTCTTGACTTTCTGGCTGCAAAAAATGTAAGAAAACATGTTTCTGAAAAAAACACTTGAAATCTATATTACAAAACACCACGTGCTTGTAAATACCAGGAGCTGCTTTCTTGTTCCTCAAAAGGGCACACTGTGTCTGAGAACCAAAATATGTTTCTATAAAGGAGCACGTGAAATGTGTAGCTCTTGTAACAGTTTGAAGTTGCGTCTGATCATAATGTTTACTACCATACAGGGGCAGAATTTACAAAGATTTTTTTAATATAAAATGCAAGACTTTTCAACCGTAGACAAACTCTGTGGTTGTGTCCATGTTCAGTGTATTCACAGGGATGTTGCTGCCAGAAATGTCCTTCTGACCAGCCGCCGAGAAGCGAAGATTTGTGACTTTGGCTTAGCACGGGACATCATGAAGGACTCCAACTATGTTGTGAAAGGCAACGTAAGTGAGTAACAAGCAGTTTATCCTATAACATGAGCTGAAGGTGATTTGAGACCCCTCCTTTTGTTTGGGATTGCAGGCCCGTCTGCCGGTGAAGTGGATGGCACCGGAAAGCATCTTCGACTGTGTCTACACTGTCCAGAGTGACGTCTGGTCCTACGGCATCCTCTTATGGGAGATTTTCTCTTTAGGTTGATACTTTTACATGCACTCATTTCCTTTTTTTTTATTTTCCTGCAAAAACATCAACTTTGAATTCTTGCACAGGCCAGAGCCCGTACCCAAGCATGGCGGTGGACTCAAGGTTCTACAAGATGGTACAGCGTGGCTATCAGATGGCACAGCCAGACTTTGCTCCGCTGGAAATGTAAGATTGGTTCAGTGAAAGATTCAGCTTGTTTTCCAGTCTGTTACACTTTACATCGCCCAGTTAACGGTGAAGCTCTGCTTAGTGCTGCTTTATTATCTGATGAGTATTAGCGTGGTATCAAGTGACTGTCAGCAGGGTTTTGGCCAGTTCCTCAGATGTAGCTGCCCTTTAGTCGTTAGTTTGTCAGTGTGCAAGCAGTGGCAATACAACTAATGCGGTTACGCTTCCATGTAACTGGTCAAACAACATGCAGTGACTTTTAGCTGAGAATATTTAAAGCTGGTGATCAGAGACGTAAACTAGCTTACTGTCCAAATGTTTATCCCAGCCAAACAAAGAGCCCCTTGTTCTTCAGCTTCGTCTGCGGTCCTCGAGCTCATGTCACATCTTGAATTACTGACACTTATGGGAACATCAAGAAGCACTTCTATCATTGCAGATTTGAATAATTTCTCATTTTTCAAATATAAAATCAAAGAACTTAAGCGCTGAAATGAAAAAGTGTTCCTACCAGTATCTGAGGAGGTTATAACATCTGTGCACACAGATTTAGCACAGCCGTCACGGCACACAGAATAACCGTGCCGTGGAAATGGAAGGGACTAAATCTGAGTCAGGGTCTAATCATCAGTTGTCTTGGTGTGAGTCAGGTCTCCGTTCTGTCTGTTAGCCACATGATCTCCAAGCTAGGACGCCGTGTAAATAATATTTCACAGAAGCAAAGAAAGACTTGAGGGCTGGCGGCCTTTGTGAACAACATCTTCTCGAACTCTGTCACAATCTCACTAATGCCTCTCAATACATGTCTCGTTGGGTTTTATAAAGTTTTCTGACTTTACCTCACACGGTTTGAACATGTTTAAACTGAGCTCTTTTTATTTCTAGGTACATCATCATGAAGATGTGCTGGAATCTGGATCCAACGAAGCGTCCGACGTTTGGCAAAATCAGTCAGACAATAGAACGACTGCTTGGGGACCAACTTGAGCAGGAACAGGTGAGTTAGAGGGAGATGGCATTCTGTTTTCATCAAAGTTATCATGTTAACATTCAACCTTTATTCATACATGTTAGTCTCATTGAGCCTCAAGGACTTATTTACAAGAGACCTGATTTTAAAAAACAATGACGACAACAGTGGGCAATCATAAAAGAGAGCAAATTGGGAAAAATAAATGAAATAAAATGATATTAAAACAACGAAACAAAAACAGCTACATTATAAAACAATTATAAACTACTAAAAACAGGAACATGTCTGTGTTAGTTCTTGCCAGGAACTTAACAGATGTTTGAAGCTACTTAGAGAGGTCAAGGTCGAGAGCTTCAGATCTTTTTGCAAGATATTCCAGGAAACAGGAGTGGAGTAAGAGAAGGCCCTTATGCCTAGTTCAGTTCTCACTGAGGGAACACTGCAGGTAATAAAGTCCTGAGAGCGCACGCTGTAGCTGCACTCACAAAGTGACATGTAGGAGGAGATGAAGACAACAGACCAAGGAATGATTTAAAGATGAAAATGTACCAGTGAGAGAGTCTACGAGAAGTTAATGGTGACCAGTTAATCAGTGAATACAGGGTGCAGTGGTGGGTATGATAATCACAGCCAGTTATGAATCTTAGTGCACCATGATAGACAGCATCCAACATCTGCAGGGTTCTTGTAGGAGCGTTCATGTAAATGATATCACCATAGTCAATGGAGGGAAGGAAAGTCACAGTTACAAGGTGTTTCCTAGCATTTCGAGTTAAACAGGATCTATTTCTGAAAAAGAAACCCAGTTTAACTTTCAGTTTCTTTACCAAGTTTTCGACATTGGGCTTAAAAGAGAGATGTGAATCAACCAAGATACTCAAATTCATTCAACCTTTATTTAGACAGGTTAATCCCATTGAGCCTCGAGGACTCACTTACAAGAGAGACCTGATTTCAACAAAGAGTGATGACAACAGTGAATTACAAATATTTGTAAGAGTCAACAAACTCAATAAGAAAACCGTTTGAAGATAAAATCGAGAGAAGAGCTGCTGAATCATGTTCCAAACAAGATGTCCTGAGGACAATCGTGATTTGTTTAATTTGATTCTCCATAAGAGAACAGAGTTCACTGCGTGACCTAACAAATTAAATAAACCATATTTTTGTGATACATGCTATTGCCAAAACATTTAACAAGCTAAAAGTGCAGCGCTTTGTCTCTGAGTCAACTAAAACATGGACTCGTTGCAGATTTAACAGAATGCACTGCATCAGACCGGATGAAACAGACGTTTTCTGTTCAAACGTAACACCACTAATGACTCCCCTCCTTAGGTAATCTACCAGAATATGAAGCAGGAAGACAGAGAGGGCGATGAAGATGACAAGCCCAAATTCCCCTGTGACCAGTCTTGTGACCATGAGGAAGAGCAGCGGCCTCTGATGAAGAGCAACAACAACTATCAGTTTTGCTGAAACCTCCAGACGACCATTGGTAAACCAATCACTTATCAGTAAAGTATCAGGAAAGGCTGAAGCACTTTGCAGAGCTGCAAGCTGTTGTTGCCCTCTCAGCTATTTCCCGCCTGCTTGTCCAGACAGACGACGGCAGCGACGCATGTGACTCGCCTCTGTGCAGACCGTGACTAGAAACTGTCACGTCTACTCCGGCTGCAGACACGAAAGGAGAAAATATGTCCACCAGTCACACCATCATTCAAAGCTTTATCTTTATTATGTTCGTAAGTCCCTCTGGTGTTTGACTTCTGTCCTCTTCTGATAATGTTATCTAATGTACTTCATGTTTATCACAGCTTTGTTATGCATATCACTGCCTCCTAAGTATTGATTTGTAGTCAGCAGGATCCCCTCCTTTTCATAATTTTATTGTGTGCACTTAAGAGGAAACAGCTCAATAGAGTCACAACCATCTGAAACTGCTGGATCCATTATTCACTCCACTTATATTAGCTTTTGTTCCCTAAAAGTGAGTGTTGGAAGTGCAAACTCCTGATTTAAACATGCAACTGAACGGGAAAAGGACAATAATGACTGTGTTGTTTTGCTCGTTTTGCTCCAGTCACGACTGTATGACTTGTGACATACTTATTATGACTGTCAGCAGCATGTGATTGTTCTGCTTCACTTTAATTAATTTTACTGGTGTTCAGGGCTGTTTAGGAGCAGGGGAATCTGGGGATCCATTCAGGGCCAGACATACAGTAGCTATGTTCGACAATGTGAACTTTCCATTTGTTTTCTGAGTCACAATTTAATTTTCTCATTCCCAGTAGTGCTGTGTTTGTATGTAGCAGTAAGCCACCACTGCCAACTGTATGATGATTTTAGACTGACTTATAAGCTACATATGTGTGTGAAACAAACACAAGATGTATCATAGTGTATATTCATATATCAAAAATCATGTTTATTTTCACTTAAATGTTTTAGATTGTAGTACATTGATATATATTTGTGTGTCTTTGTGCAAACCAATGCAAAATCAGCAAACAGAATCAGTATAAGGCCTCTGAGCTGTTGAATAAAAAGCTTTACATTTACAAGTCCAGTTTGTGGTTTATGTTCTCGGAGCACTGGAAGAGGTTTTATCTGCGTTCATAGAAACTGTGTGGTCTTTGTGTTCTCTCCTCACTTCCTGTTTTCTACTGGATATCATCCAATCTGCCTTTCCTCTGAAACATTTCCCACAATATGAGTTAATATTGCACAAGTGTGAATTCTCTGCAGGGAAGTATTAACCTCACCGTAGATCCTGAGGCCTCCTCTTCTTTTTTGAACTTTAAGCTGAGATTATTTAAAAAATTGATGATTATTTACAGAAGCTTTGATTTTGCTTTTACAAATGCCACAATTACATTTTGAATTATTGTTCCCTAAAATGTAATTGTTACTTAGTTTGAATATGACATCTCACATGATCTGTTAGTATGTTGTGAATGACGGCACATCGACTCAATATTTGCAGTTATAGACGTTTTCTGTGTAGGCTGTGGCAGCCATCTTCAATTAGATTGACTCCAAAAGGTAATGTGTTGTAAATGCACATCCAATGAATACGTTTTAAGAGTTTCAGTGACATCTGTTCAGTCATTCCTGAGATATTTTGGTTATGTTACAGCAGGAAAAAACATTTTCTCTTCACTTTCAGGGTTAATTCGTGTCTGAACTGGGTTTTAACACTATTTGATCACAAAGATGATGATCAGGACAAGTTATGAAATGTTACAGGTATTTGTCACACAGCAGCTTATCGACACAAGAAAAGAAAAACGGGATCATCCCCTGGCACCTGCAGCTGGCAGTCAGCGGCAACAAGGAGCTCAGCAGGCTGCTGGGAGTAGGGATGCACGACATAGGATTTTGGCCGATATCCGATATGCCAATATGTTAAATTTTATTTGGTCGATAACTGATACCAATACCAATATTTTTTTCCTAGACCTACTTACAGAGACTACAATTCTCTACTGTGGAATTAAAATACTAAATTGTTCTGCATGGTCTTTGTCACTTTGGCCTACTACCAAGTGCAGATGCCAAAAAGGGGGTTGAAAAATAAATAAATATATATACCGGTATATATATACACACACATATATATATATATATACACATATATATATATATATAGTATATATATAAAAAGCGCCTTTTATATCGCAAGTTATTTTGATAGAATGGCTGATGTCCAATATTTAACTTTATCGCCAATAACATCATGCATCCTTAGCTGGGAGGACTGGCCATCACTCAGGGAAGAGTTCTGCCCGGCATTCGAGCAGTCTTGCTGCACAGGTGAATTGAGAGACACGCCTGGTCCGGATCGGGATCTGTGGCCAGATTCTTCAGATCCACTGAGATCCTTCCTGCCAACAACCATCAGCATCTACAACAACTCTTGAATGAAACCAGGATAACGAGTTACAACATTTAGTTTTCCTTTGGGATTAGTAAAGTATTTACGAATTAAATTAGCATTAATAAGCATCAGATGCTGGTGTCAGTCTCTCTCTAACCCTACACAAACTGTTACGCATGGAGGTGGTAACATCATACTCTGGGGTCGTTTGCATCTGTGGAAATGAAATATAACAAAGTGGGTAGAATAATGTCAACACAGCTGGACACAAAATGTTTAAGAGCAAGATGGACACAGCACTTCAACTGTCTGTAAGAATAAAGTTTTAAAATGACTTTATTAAAGACCTGGACATTGATTTTTTTGTGAAATAAGTGAACAGCTTGATAAATGGTTCCACGTCAGAAAGGTAACACATTTCATGAAAATTCTGACAGAAACTTGTTGATGGCTATCAGAAGCATCTGGTGAAGGTGATCAGTCTCTTCAAAAATAAAACGTTCTGCAGCTTCATTTGTTTGAGATCAGGTCAGCCCACATTTATTTTACCCGGCAGCCAGATGATCTGTTATATCAAAACAAGAAAAAGGACTGTCTGTGGTGAAATAGGTGTAGGTTCATCATCGGATGATAAAACTACTTATACATCATTCTTACTCAACAAACCTCCAAGAAAGTATCAAGCAAATTAAAGCCAGAAAAAAAAAAACAAAAAAAAAAACAAGCAGAGGTCCAAAATCTCCACATCATGATTTAGTAAAATCAACAAATTCAATGTTCCATCACGCTGAAAATGCAAACTTCAGCCCAAAGGCAGTTAGGAGGTAAATGTGTAAAACACAAGGAACAAAATCTGTATCTCTGAACAATAAAAGGGCTTTAAATATGTTACAAGCTTATAGACGTGGGTTAAATAAGCCTAGTTCATAAAAGCCAGTTTACGTTCCTTTAGTCTGACTAAAAGACAAATTTAAAACTTATGTTCATACAGTGGTATTTAAATGTTTGTGAAGCCTTTAGAATTTTCTATATTTCTGCATAAATATGACCTAAAACATCATCAGATTTTCACACAAGTCCTAAGACAAAGAGAGCCCAGTTAAACAAATGAAACAAGAATATTTTACTTGGTCATTTATTTATTTATTGAGGAAAATGATCCAGGATTACATATTTGTGAGTGGTAAAAGTATGTGAACCTCTAGGATTAGCAGTTAATTTGAATGTGAAATTAAGAGTCAGGTGTTTTCAATCAATGGGATGATGATCAGGTGTGAGTGGACAACGTTTGATTTAAAGAACCCAAGTCTGCTCTTCACAACATGTTTGTGGAAGGGGATCATGACACGAACAAAGGAGGTTTCTGAGGAGCTCAGAAACAAAGCTGTTGATGCTCATCAGGATGGAAAAGGTTACAAAAATATCTGTAAGGAGTTTGGACTCCACCAATCCAGACAGATTGTGAACAAATGGAGGAAATTCAAGACCATTGTTACCCTCCCCAGAAGTGGTGGACCAACAAAGATCACTACAAGGTGTGGAATAGCCAGCGAGGTCACAAAGGACCATGGGTAACTTCTTAACAACTAAAGGTCTCTCTCACATCGACTAATGTTCATGTTCATGAGTCCACCATCAGGAGAACAATGTGTGCATGACAGGGTTGAAGGAGGAAGACACTGATCTCCATAAAGAACATTGCTGCTCGTCTGCAGTTTGATAAAGAGCACGTGGACAAGAATGTTTTATTATATATCTATATATAATTATTTGGTTAAAATGAAAAGTGTTCAGTTTGGAGAAAGTAAAACGCTGCATTCCTACATAAGAACCTTATACCATCTGTGAAACATGGTGGTGGTAGTATCATGGTTTGGACCTGTTTTGCTGCATCTGGGTCAAGACAGTTTGCCATCATTGATGGAACAAAAAGTTCTGAATTATATCAGAGAATTCTAAAGGAAAATGTCAGAACATCTGTCCTGAATCTGAAGAGAAGGTGCGTCATACAGCAAGACAAGGCAGTTATTGTGAAGAAACCACCAACGTCCCAGAATTGAAGCTGCTCAGTGGCAGGAGGACATCCAGCAATTAAAGTCATTATGCAAATTACTGGGTAACCAAGTATTACAATGATTGGTTACCTTTTAAAATATGTTTTATTGCATTGAACGATAAATGCAACAAACAGGACCCAAAACCCAAACTCAACCCCCCATTGGTTGGCCAGAAGTGGCCTGCGGGCCACCAGTTGAATAACCCTGTTTTAGGTCATATATAGAAATATATATCATATTTGAATATATAATAATAACAGATGAATATATTTATACAGAAATATAGAAAATACTAAAGGGTTCACAAACATTTGAGCACCACTGGTGATTAGTTACTAAATATATGTTTGAAAATTGCTTCATGGTTTAAATTGCATCCTGCAAAATACTGAACAGTTGTTCCGTTTACTAACCACTGCAGGTTTTATCACACTGGCTACGTTCGTGTCCACTTTGACCAACATCCTCTCATGTAAAACTTTTAATCAGTGTGCATATTAAAGTTCTGTATTCTTCTTCTTCATTGATGTGGAGGTTAATGAGCACCATTTAAATGTTCAGAATTCCTTCTGCTAGCACGTACGTCTTTGTTTACGCCGTCATCTTCACGGCTTACCAGCTGATGCATCGGACTTTGTTCTTTATTTAACCACAGCCATGTCTGTGTAGAACTCCTCTGTTTGTCCTTCACTGTCCTCTTACTCAGCGTTGATGTGTGCCACTCCGAGTCTGTACAAAGCATCCCTGATGGCCACCTCCCCAGGTTGGCAGGCCTTTACAACATAGCTGATCTGCTGGTTTACAATGTCTCTGCTAGTGAGGAAATCGACCAGTCGATTGTACAGGTAGTAATAAGCTGCGTTGCTGAAAGTCACGGGTTGTTCTCTTATGTGGCGCACTGATAAACAGTGCTCGGATTTTTCCCCGGCGTCGTTCTCTGGCGTTTCCGTCTGTTCCGTCAGTTGTCCGTGTGTCTGATCCTCCTCTTCTTTCTCCGAGATCAGCTCTGCTACCAGACTGACGTACGGCTCCAGGTCTCTGCAGAGGTTCATGGAGTGATGCTCTGAAGGAGGAGACGCCGAGGAAGCTCCTGGTGGATGAAGCAGCCACCGAGAACAAGATCTGGTGATGGGGTGAGTCTGCAGGTTGTCTGCCACAGAAGACAGGTCAGCGTTGTACACGTCTTGTAGTTCAGGACAGGATACCACCTGAAACAGAAAATCTGAGTAGAAGAACTGGGAGTCTTTCCCACAAAGAATTGAATTTTGTCTTTTTTCTTTTTACAAGCTGTACGACGATGTCCTCCATCACTGATGAATTTGAATAGTGAATGTAGTTTTCAAGATGAGTGTTTTTCTGGACTGGAATTGAACAGGGAATGCAAGTGAACCTTAATGTTTTGGTGCACTCTATTCAAGTGGGTAGGAGTTACTCTTAGGACTGTCGCGATAAACAATAAATCAATCGCATGACAAATTAAATTTATCGACCTCATTTTCATTTATCGGCTTTATCATTTCTTCGTGTCTCTCTCTTTCTACTGAAGACACGGCTCTAACTCCAGAGCTCTTCACTGACCCCTCCCTTTCTCTTTAAAATCTGTTTTAACCGTCCAAAATAGCGTTTTTGTATCAATAAAAGCAGCTAGGCTGAGAAGCTAAGCTAACAAGCCAACCTCGGAGGAAAAAACCAAGTCTTGCTGAAGCTCCAAAATCCACGGTTGAAACTCGTGCCTTCGTGTAAAAAGTTGGTTTTCTCTGCAAAAAGAAGCTGAGAACTTTACTGATTTTTTATTAAAAGTTTTGTGTGAAAAATGCTATGCTAAAGAGCTCAAACCACACGGAGAATCCGCTATTTTGAGAAGCAAAGAGAGCCAGCCCATGTCACGTCAAGGGGCCTCCCTCCCATTTTTCTTAAAGGGACACACTGCTCGCTCCCTCACTATCCATCCTTCAGTTCAAACAGTCTTACACTGCCATCTGGTGGTTGAAAAAGGATACTACATGCAAAACAAATTAAACATTTCTTCTTAAGTTTGACAATAATTACTAATTATTGTCAAATTTCCAACAATATTATCATTTATCGCAATAACTTCTGAGAATTAATTGCACAGCAAAATTTGTTATCATGACAGGCCTAGTTACACCGTGGAGAAGAAGAAAGGTTTTTTTTCTTGTCCGAGGCAGCGCAGAGTGACGGATCGTGGTGAGCGGACGGATCAATTTGATCTACCAACAGGTGCAAAGGCGGAGCCAAAAGGTGGCCTTAGCCACCATAGATGAATCTTCGGCCACTCCACCGACCACCACAATCATTCAAGGAAACTATAATTTTAAGCAATATAAAAAATAGATGGCATAGTTTCCTCAAATGACCAAGTGGCTGGTTTACATCCATGGCAGTAGCCATCTTGGATTTTGACATGGCAACCCAATTTTCAATGGGGGCCTTTCTTGTGCTTAGATGCAGCCTCGCACCAAAATGAAGTCAGTAACTCACTTATTTTTCCGGTTATCATGCTCACAACATGCACAGACAGAGGGTATTTCCAATTCCCCCCTCTTTGCTCTGTGACGGGGCACAAAAATAGACCTACTATAAGCAAGCAAGAATAAAGCTCACAGACATAAACACTGAATAAATCATGGTTAAAACTAAATCCAAATTATGTGGTTTTCTAATAAAATCATTTGGCAAGATAAATAAAGGCTGTGAGTGATATTAACTTAAACTAAAAGTATCCTGATGTATGTTCAATAATCCAGATAAAAACAATTAAAAAAGTTAAGTCAGGTCCTCTGGACAATTTCAAAAAACAAAAATTGTAGAAACGTTTTGTCTTTCATCCGAAAGACTTCCTCAGTCTGAACTTTAAACAAATCTTTTTAACAAGCATTTATTGAAAAGATGATAACTAAAAAATTTTATGGATATGCAAATTTCATGGAACCACCAACCTCCGGATTTTCGAAGGGGTCAGAGAAGCAGCCTTGGTTCCTGCCCCACATCTGGGTTGCCAGTTCTGGATACTGCAGGTCAGTGCAAAGAGCCACCTGACGGGGGCAGTCACAGATGTAGACTGGAGGCCAGTAATGAGAAGATAGTAGCAGATCAACGTGGTCCCGAGCAGTCTCTCCTCTTACTAAACACTTAGAGGAACACACCACCTGGAGACACATGGGAGAAAAGGTAATGCTTTCAAACACACAGAAGACATTTGGGTTTCAGTTCTTATTTTATTAAGCATAAAGAAACTGAAAAAAAACAATAGTTTAATTAGATGCTTTAAATTGTTACACTGCCATAATGATGTGGTGCAACTCAGTACAGTGAATGTATCTGTTTGACACAACTGAGTCATAGTTGTTTCTGCTAAAGCTAAGACTAGGATACTGTGATGCTCCTCCTTGAAATGGAACCACCAAGGTTGATGCTAAGGACTACTCTACTGCACTTTACTTAGACCTGTCTAAAGCTTTTGACACTGTGGACCATGACATCTTATGTCATAAGTCCTTAGAAACTGGTTTTTCAGATCACACTATTGGTTGGTTCACTAACTATCTCTCAGATATGTTCAACATAATGGTACTTCTTCCAGCTATCTGTCAACAGTGGTGTACCACTAGGCTCAGTCTTAGGACCCACCCTCTTCACAATCTATATAAATAATGTACTGTAGGTCAGACCATCCCTGATGCATCATTACATTTCTACGGTGACCTATTTACAAGAACGCTCCTACAAGCACCCTGTTGGACGCTGTCTATCACAGTGCGCTAAGACTCATAACTGGCTGTAACTATCATACTCACCACTGCACTCTGTATTCACTGGTTAACTGGTCATCAATAACTTCATGCAAACTCTCACTGGTACATTTTCATCTTCAAATCACTTCTTGGTCTTTTGCCTTCATACATCTCCTCCTACATGTCCCGTCGTCAGTGCAGCTACAGCGTGCGCTCTCAGGACATCATTATCTGCAGTGTTCCCCCAGTGCGGACTCGAGATGCACCGATCCGATACCAATATCGGTATCGGTCCCGATATCGGGGAAAAATAAAAAAACAAAAACAAACCTGAATCGGGTATCGGTGACAACGTGACCGATCCATGACTGGGCAGATCTATTCACTCTAATTCTATGCTTTGTGCTTTGAGTGACGTCACGCACTAGCGAACTCGCTGCACAGATCGTTTTCAAAATGGAGCGAGCGAAAGGATCAGCCATCTGGAACTATTTCACACTACCTCAGCCAACACATTCGACAGCTACGTGCAATACGTGCACAGTGACAGTTCCAGGGGATGTCACTAAAACTTCCAGTTATAACACTACCAACTGAATCAAGCATCTCCAGAGATTTCACCCTAAAGAGCACGCCGAGTTTGTTGAACGAAATTCAGCACAGTTTTTCTGTATCAGATCGGTATCGGCCGATAACAAATATCAGACATCGGTATCGGAAAAAGTGGATCGGTGCATCCCTAATGCAGACCAAATTTGGCAAAAGGGCCTTTTCTTACTCCACTCCTGTAACCTGTAACACCTTGCAGCAGGAACTGAAGTTGTCGAAGTTGTCTAAGGGACTTTAATGTTAAGTTCATGACAAAAACCAACGCAGACATGTTTCTGTTTTTAGTATTTTATATCGCTTCATAGTGTAACTGTTTTTGTTTTGTTTTAATGTCATTTCTTTTATATAATTTTCATTTTATATGCTTCTATATGACTGTCTATTATTGTCTGTACCTCATCTGTGTTCTTTATAAGTCATCGAGGCTCAATGAGACTAACCTGTATAAATAAAGGTTGAATGAATAAAAACACCATCAGAGGTGAAATAAGGGTGTCAATCATACAACAAGGCTCCTGTAAGATGGCAACTGATGTCTTACTATTATCTGTGGAGTTAACAAACAGCTTTCAGCAGTGACAGGCATCTGAAAACATGAACATTTATAACTCAGACAACAAGTTAAATACTGAGCAGGCTGCTGTTTTTACCTGGTGGGGGCAGACTTTGGACAGCTTGCCAGCAGTGAGGTTTGTTGGGGGTTGAGGGGCTGTCGATAGACCACTACGAACATGTGTGTACAGGTTGACCAGAGAGGACAGCAGCTCGTTCTAACAGGAGATAGAAAGATTCCCTTCATCAAATACCCACCACAGATTTAAAAACAGAACAAGGAGAGATAAAAACAAACCTGAATATGAAGTCAAAATTAAGAAAATCATGTTTAATAACTTGAAAATAACATGCAAAGCAACCTGTTGGGGAAAAAAAAACAAAAAAACTTTAAACTCACTGCTGTGCCAATCGTTGCCTAAATAAACACCAGTAAGACACGTTAGTAATCAAGACAAACAGTTTTTATTTTGTCTGTCTGTTTAGTTATAATACTAACAATTCATTGCATGTTTCGTGTCCACAATAATCATTACTGTCGCACTATTTTCAGCTGTCATATTTAATCCACTAATTGAAGCTAAAATGTTAAGGTTCAACGTTCTTTATTGTCATTCGCATCACATGTGGTACATGAGGTGGAACCATCTTGTCTAACGACATGTTTTCTTTCATCCCTCACACACATGAAAACACACCTTGGTGGAGCCTTGAGTGACGTTTGCCCCACAGTGGTCGAGCATCATTTTCAGATCATCCTCAGTCAGCTCTTCAAGCTCGTCTATTCTCAGCTGACTGCTGTGAATTAGACGGACCAAAACTGACGGATCTCCTGAAACACAGAACAAAACAAATAAAAGATAATAAAAAAAATAAAAAAAACTAGCATTAGTCAGGTCTGAAACAGTTGAAGGAGGTAAACGATCAATTGTTTTCTAAGACTTCTGCACCTGAGGGTTGCTGTATGTGTGGCAGAACCTTGTCCTTCTCTGTGTTGATAACAGTGGAGCTCCTCATCAAAGGTGGAGTAAAAGGAGCAATGATCGAAGCGTCGACTCGCGTTATGGGGATGTCAGCAGGGAAAACCGCTTGCTCAATGGCTTCACTCTCCATGGTCAGCCAGAAGTCATCCACGTGGACCTCATCTGGCACTGAGCACTCGGGCCATGTAAACTGCAGAGAGATGCACTTGTGTCAAATCTGCTACACAGCTACTGAAGAATAGGCCTGTCACGATAACAATTTTTGCTGGCCGATTAATTGTCTCAGAAATTATTGTGATAAACGATAATATTGTTTGAAATTTGACAATAATTATTAATTATTGTCAAATTTAAGAAGAAATGTGTTAATTTTATGTGTAGTACCTTTTTTGACCACTGGATGGCAGTACAAGACCGTTTGAACTGAAGGATGGATAGTGAGGGAGTGAGCAGCGTGTTTCTTTAAGACAAATGGGAGGGAGGCCCCTTAACATGACATGGGCTGTCTCCTTTATTTCTGTTCTCAAAATGTCGGACGCTCGGTGTGGTTTGAGCTCTTTAGCATAGCATTTGTCAAACAAAGCTTTAAATAAAAAAAATCAGTAAACAAGTTCTCAACTTCTTTTTGCAGAGAAAAACAATTTTTACACGAAAGCACAGGTTTCAACTGTGAATTTTAGAGTTTTGACAAGACAGTTTTTTTTTTCCCTGAGGTCGGCCTGTTAGCTTAGCTCGTAGCTTAGCTTCTTGGCTTAGCTGCTTTTAACGATCCAAAAACGCGATTTTAGACGGTTAAAACAGATTTTAAAGAAAAGAGAAAAAAGAAAGGGAAGGGTCAGTGAAGAGCACCGGAGTTGAGCCCTTTATCATCCAGTGTCTTCAGTAGAAAGAGAGAGACACGAAGAAACGATAAAGCCGATAAATGAGAATGAGTTTGATAATTGTCATTTATCATGCGATTAATTGATTTATTTGTTTATTGTGACAGACCTACTGAAGAATTTAAATTTTACATAAATAACTGAAATGTCCTCAATATTCTGTCACCTCCACATTCTTGAGCTCCAGGACGTTGTTTGTGTACCTCTGGGCAATCTCAAGTTTTGGAGCAATTCCACAAATGCCGCAGATCATATCGTTGTAATCCCGAACTGTCAGACACTCAAAGGCCCAGTAGCCACTCAGGAGAAGCTCCTGAATCTGACAGGATTCTTCAGGACTGAGAGTATGGATTGGATGACTCGGAATCTGATCGAAAACAGACCTGGCAGCTTGGGAGGGGGACTGACCCATTTTGATGTTGGCCCGGATCTTGAAGAACAAGTCGATGCTTACCAACAGTCTGTTCCCGATGTTGAATAAACCTGAAGAAACAACAGCAATCAGACCAATCCACTTCACTCATTGTAATATTCCAACACTATTTTTAATCCCTTCAGGCAAAGACACAGGCGTAAACTTGTCATTAAAACTTCCAATTTTTAACTTTTCAATGCAATTTTTTTCCCAAACAAGCATAGACCAAAACACCACTGGGTACTTCCACTTACATAAGTAATTAGATGAGTTTTATTAGAATAGTTATATTAGAATATTTGATGGAATCTAATCAGCCATACAAATGAAGGTAAAAACCTGGATGTGTGAGGATAGAAAAAAGGCTTACAAGAATTATAACTTTATATTACAAAATGTTTGTGACAAATTATAAGAAATCCAATTACTTAAAATCTCTGGATTCATAAAAATGGGACAAATAGACTTTTTCATTTTATTTTCATTTAACCTTTATTTATACAGGCAGTCTCACGAGAACTCATTTTCAAGAGAAACCTGTTTTTTGGGAGCAGAAGGTGGGGGTTAAGGGCCTTTCTCTGGGGCCCAGAGTGGGGCAAATGAGGGTGGAGGCAGGTGTGGGTGTTTCCCCTTTTCCACCCACATTTTGATGTTGACGGTACTGGGAGTTGAACTTGCGACTTTCTGATCACAGGCCCATCTTCTCTAACCTCTATGCCACCACTCCCCCATTTGTGTGGATAGACAGGAAGCCACTAATGTTTATAGACACATTAGCTGCCTTCAGAGACAGAAAACGTCCTCATTAGGATTAGGATGACGGAGCATTGCATAAATATTTGGTGAAGAAAATAGTGTGTGTGTGTGGGGGGGGGTGGGTGTTCCAATAAATAAAATGAAAAATTAAAGCTACAAATAAAATCCATTTTAAGGTTTTTAAAAGTAAGCAAAGAGAAGTGAAACTGAGTTTGACAGGTAAGGTAGTCAAGGTGCAGGACTAATATTTATACGTTCTTAAACCAAAATGTGTCCCAAAGAAATAGTGACGTGCTAGATTAAACACTTTTTTTTTTTATTTAACCTTTATTTATACAGGTAGTCTCATTGAGTCATGAGGACTCATTTTCAAGAGACCTGTTTGGGAGCAAATGGTGGGGGGGGGGGGGGGGGGGGGGAAAGGGCGAGATGGGGGGATAGGGGGGGGGGGGGGGGGGGGGGGGGGGGGGGGGGGGTTAAAGGCCTTGCTCAAGGGCACAAGGTGGGCAAATGAGGGTGGAGGCAGGTGTAGGTGTTTCAGCTTTTCCACCTACATTTTGATGTTGTTGGTCTGGGGAGTTGAACTGGCAACCTTCCAATCACAGGCCCACCTTCTCTAACCTCTGCGCCACCACTCCCAAAACTTACAAGAAACTTACTTATCAATAATTCAGATACAAACATATAATAAAACATGTCTGTAAATGAGTCTTGAAGGAAAATGTTGGGACATTAACAAATGAACCTCTATAGATTATATCCAGTGTATAAAACATAATTCACTGTTAAAAATCCCCACGCTGGATTTTTATATATAAAATAGTTATAAAGTGAAGACTATCTGCTTGACTTGAGCTAGCTGTTTTCTTTAGGCGTGTGTTTACCTGGATGCAGGTTGGTGAAGCTGTGCAGGGCCAAACACTGAACATTGAGACACACTTTGAGCTGAAGCGTGGCAGTCTGCATCAGCGTCTCAGTGAGCAGCCAGCAGTCCTCCTGTCCTGCAACAGAACTGAACACACACATGAACACGCAGTCACCAACAAAGGAACACAACAAGAACATTCAAACGAGTAACGACATAAAAACAACAGCAGCAAGACGGACAAAATGCCAAGAGAGGGAGCTGAAGTCTTCCATTAAGACCCAACAAGTCTTCTCACCTCTGCTCCCCTTTGAACAGAGGGTAGCAACACAGACTGCAGTGAGTCGCTTCTGATTCGTAGCACCGAGGCCACCCCGACTCAACCACCGTCTCCATTTCGGCGCAGTTTTCCTGCTCCTGCTCGCTCGTTTGAACAAAGATAATTTGCAGACTGTTGAGCTCCTGGATGAGAGTCAGTGTTTCCTGCAGCTCAGCCTCACTCTCAGGGATCTGCACGGAGCTGCGAAGCAGCTGCACCGTACTTTGGCGCTGGATGTCCCTCTGAGCAGGACTCAGGTCTTGATGTGGATCCAGCAGAGTCTCAGACTGAAAAAACAGAAAAACACAAACAAGTACAGTTTTATGCACATAAATCAGGCAACGTTTTTATTCAATTCAATTCAAAAATACTTTATTAATCCCCAAGAGAAATTAAGTGTTGTCGTAGCTCATCCTGGTTTCATTCAAGAGTTGTTATAGATGTGGGCAGGAAGGATCTCCTGCAGCAAATCTGAATAATCTGGCCCCAGATACTGATCCGTCCACCTGGATCCAGCTTGCTGTCAGATCCGGCGGACCTCTTGGTCCTCCTGGGCAGCAGGACTGCCTGAATACGGAGTAGAATTCCTCCCTGAGCAATGGTCACTCCTCCCAGCAGTCTGCTGAGCTCCTCATCACCACAGACAGACAGCTGAAGGTTCTGGGGGATGATCCTGGTCCTCCAGTTGTCACGAGCCGAGTTCCCCACCAGCTCCAGGATCTCGGCGGTCATGTACTCGAGCAACGCCACCAGGCTGACGGGGATTCGTCCACGGCGCCTCCTTTTCAACTCATCTGGGATTTGGGGCTGTAGCTATTATTGAGCTTTTGAGATGTTAATCAGCTGGTTGTTAAAAAAAAAACCACCTTGTTGCCATAGTTATGCATAATAACAAATGCCCTCAAGTAAAAAGGTTTCAGTAAAATTCCTTCCAGCTGCACATCATCCGATACCAGAGGAAAAAATTATTCGAAAAGAGCGATTTACATCCAGAAAAAAGAGGAATTAAAGTTTTCAAAAGCAATAACTTTGAATGAATGTAACAGAGCTACTCCAACATGCAGCCACCCTGAGCGGCACAATTCTAGAACATGTTATGAACATTATATAAATAGCTTTAATAATTGTTTACATGCTCAAGGAAGGAAGTATGGTTTGTCTTACTTTTGCAGCTTTATTCTTTTGGGTCAGCTCGTTGCCACATTTTGGGCAAACAGCTGGTTTGTGTCTGTTCTTATAAACATAGTCGCAGGACGGGTTCTTGCAGCGACCTCTGCCTCGTCCCGTGGACAGTCCCAAGTCCTAATACAAGACAGGAATTCATCAAATTCTTACCAAAAAAAAAACAAGTGGCGTACAGTAACTAAAATCACTTTTTAGTTAGGCATTCATAATAACAAAATAAGGACAGATGTTGAATGCTGCTTGTTACTGACAAAGCTGGAAGCTGTTTGTTGTTTGAAAGGCACGACTGACACAAGATTCACTCCTCCATCAGTCACTGACGACACACGCCGGCCTGAAGAGTCCTACAGAGAGACATTCAGCGAGTCAGTAACTGGACTTAATCACACATTTATCTGTCTTGGATGTTTTACTGTTCGTGTTCATGGGTTAACCTGGCTGTCTGTGGCTGTGGGGACCTTTTGACCAAGCTGCTTTAAAGTGCTGGGCTTGAGACCTGAGAAACTTTCTTGAGTCACTGCAGTTAGAAAAACAGCCTCATCAAGTGGAGCTAAGACCTCAGAAAGTGCACGTGGACATATGATTTCCTGACGAGCCACGAGCATTCATCAAACAGAACATGGCGAGTGCTGCAGTCACACCATGAAGTGAATGATTAAATGTAATAAAACAACAATACCTGTGGAGGACTCGACGTTGCTGACACCCTGAAGTTTGTCTTTGTCCGGTGGAACAGTTATGATCTGAAAAATAGCACCACCTAAAACACAAACACCAAGAATTATACTGGAACGCAAAGAAACAGCTTCTTTTCCTGTTAACGATCATATTGTGCATGTTTTATGTTTAATGATACCTGTATTATTGAGGGCAGGAAGAATGGGTCTGACAGGCCTCTTCTGCACAACGGCAGAGCTCCTGCTCTGACTGTGAACAACGCAATTAACGATGCAGAAAAAATAAGTTTGGTCAAACCCAATTTGCAATAAACAGCTGCACTGTCCAGAGACTAGGTATTTGATCTGCCTTTTTATACTGTGTCTTTGAAATAAACAGAGATATAATAAATGGTAAGCATTATAAGCTCACTCAATCATTCAATTAGTGGAAGGAGTGGAAAACTCCCTACTTTCAATGATTAAACCAACAGAGATCCAACTCAAACATCAGTCAAACAGATCATTTAAAACTAAACTTCAGAGCACACGGGCATATTTCTGTACAGTAGTTGTGAGACGTGTGCAGAGGCACCTACCGGTACTTTGCTTGATGTTGTGTCCTGCTGCTGCACTCTGGTGGCGTTCCAACTGCATGTTTCTTTTTCACACAACGCTGCGCTCTCCCTTCCTGTTTGCTCCATCTAGTGTTTGCTTCACTGACATCAGCATCCGCCTCTTGAGCAGGCGAGGTGATTTGAAGGCTTTCTGTCTGCTCCACGTGAGCTTCCTGTGACAACTGCTTGGAAACAGCCTCTTTCCCTTGACTCCTTTGCGCCTGACAGAACATATAAATACAGCTAAATGTAACTGGCTTGGGTTGCACATACAACTGAATGCAAGTTGACAGATTTTGTTCCTCACTTACAGATGGGCTCCATTTTCCACCCAAGTGGCTCCCGCATTCAGGACATGTAGCTGGTTTGTGACGGGTGACATACACATATGAACAGCCAGGACTGAGACACCTCCCACGACCTCTCCTTGTATACGTCTTCAAAGACTGCAGAAAAAAAAAGAAAGAAAAATCCCTTAATCTCCTTTTATTTCTTCTAGTTTTGATTTTTAACACTATTCTGTGAACACTGATGGACTCCAACCAATACAGCTGTATAATGGCAATGTCCCATTCCTTTATATTATAAGCTCCTGCTTCTCTGTTTTTTGTACCAACTTAATTGGACGGTTCCTGTGTCTGTGTGTGTGATCTTCAGTTTTATTGCCGATTTTACTTTTTAAAAGCCCAATCAAGGATTAAGTTTGAAAATTAACCTTTTGCAACACAACCTCTGAACAAAGAGGCAGTTGTGGCTGAGTGGTTAGAGCAGTCGTCCTCCAATGCAAAAGTTGGGGGTTCGAATCCACCAGCAGTCAGATGCCGAAGTGTCCCTGGGCAAGACACTGAACCCCTTGTTGCCTCTGATGTGTGTCTCATCGGTGTATGAATTGAATTGAATTACCATTTACAAAGAAACTGTGGTAATGTTTTAATGTACAAGATTGTTTTCTGTGCTTTTCTTATCATATAAACCTAAACTAAACTGTTGCTTTAAGACAGTCCTTCTCAAGTAGTGGGGCGCACCCCCCTGGGGGGGGCCGGAGCAATGCCAGGGGGGCGCATGAGACCCCGAGGAACATTTTGCGGCAGGGAGTAGGTTTTTTTTTCTTCTCTTTTTTCACCATTCTCATTTTGTCAGGGTGCGTTCGGCAACTGTTTGCTAAAACCTGTCAACTCTCAGTCTTAATAATAATAAAGTTATGAACAAACATGTCTGTCTTGTTGTTTGGGGAGCCATGCTTGAACTGTGTCGCTTCCCTCTGCTGCTGAGCAGCTGGTGACGTTTGTCACCCGCATCACGCCTTACCTGCCCCTCTTCCTCTTTCATTTTAACATTTTTTTGATTGTTTTTTAGTTTGTCAAAGCACAATTTTGATGTTTTTAAATACAGAAGTAATGTTTAATAAATGTTAGGACTCTATTCTTTGCTAACAAGTCCTCCGCACTGGACGCATTTCACCCACAACATGCAGCAACAAAGAGTATAAACTCAAAGCGAGAGGACACCTGCCCCCTCGTTCCTCTTTCACATTGACAACATTTTTTAGTTTTATCGATTGTCAAAGTACAGTTTTCATGTTTTTTTTATTTGTTGGAAAAACGTATGTTTAACAAATGTTAGGTCTATTCTATGTCTATTCTTTGCTAACAGAATATATTTTATGTCATTAAACAAGTTGTCAGGTTCTTCTTGTGAGCCTGTTCCCCTGGACCCACACAGACACACACCCAGCCCGCTCGCTCTTGTGCTCTTTGCAACTTCTCTGCTGCTCTGAAGACCAGGTCCAGGTCCAGGTCCAGGTCCAGGTCCAGGTCCAGCTAAACACCGAGCAGGACCTGAGAGCTGCAGGATCATGTTTCAAACTGCGCTTCAAAAAGCTGTGCACTGCAAAATGTGCTCATTGTAGCCATTAATCTTGACTTCCTCATTTTGATTTAAAAAAAAAAAACTAACAAAAATAAAACCGCACAAATTGTTTTATTCATTTTTGTTTTGTAGGTCAAAGTGTTGTATTTAACACTCCTGACTTAAAATGTTGCTGATCAATTTGAATTTATTATTTATTGATTGCATTTAATTATTTGATTGTTCAGTATCAAATGGTCAAAAATGTTTACAGTTTAAATAAGGATATATATTTTTAAATTTCAGGCAAATTGATGCACTTTAAGCCTTTTCTGTTACAGACTATAAAACAATGTTAATAATCTTTGTTGTAAGTTGATCTATATTTCTATCTTTTTGTAATTTAATGTTAATAAGGATACAATGTTATGTAGAGGTGTACTTAAAACAATTTTATAGACAAAGTATACTATTTACAGTCACGGCAGAGAGTTGGGGGAGCGCGAAATGTTTACTTCTTCCTAGCGGGGGCGTAACCAAAAATAATTGAGAAGCATTGCTTTAAGAAATGACATTTCAGCAAGTAAAGTGGGTGTTTACCATTTTATATGCAGGTTTGGCAGTTTCCGATTTCACTCCTAAAGAGATCATCATCATTGGACGCAAAGATCCATCTCCAGCTACAGACTGGGGCTCCAGGAAGTTCTGGATTAAGGGAGAAATTATTAAAAGACTTAAAATTAAACTGGTGGGCTACAGTTTACTGAAATCTTGACAAACAAATTCATGAATACAAATCACTTTTATTTGCTAAAAGGATACAGACAGGGGAGTTTTACCTGTGTGGGTAAGATGGTTACCACCTGTGCAGCTTCCCCTTGCCTCTGCTGCACCACAGTCCCGTTGGAACAACTCTTGGGAGGTTTTGCCTCGTTTCGTTTTAGTGTTGCACCGTTCACAGTGAAGTCCACCAAGCCCTGTGAGAGATTAGGAGAGATTATGCTTTAGGATGAAGAAGAGGCTGAAGCCACCGTTTTCTTCCCCGTGTCACCGGCATCAGTGTGGCGCTCTGAAAAGTCCACCCGAGAAGCCGAACCAGCCGGTGTGAGCTGAGGGAAACTGAGCGCAGGCCTCCTTCAAATGAAAAGGCCAGTGGTCCTTGGCTCACCTCGGGCTGTTGACCTGAGACGATGCTTTTAGGCAGGAGAAACCAGTTGGCTCTGGGTAGGATTTTACGGAAGCCTGGCAGCTGTTTGGAGGTGCTGAGAGAAGACTGAGAGAAAACACGGTGAAGAAAACTGTTGCCACAGAATTCTAGACAACAATAAATAAAGACAAGTTTCTACTGAGACAATTCATTGTTAGCTTATCCATTTAAACATTAGCCAAAAGAAACACTGTAACTAAAAATGATGTTTTATTTTGCCAGCAGTCAAAAGGGGCTCTGGAAGTCCTGCCAGACTATGATGCAGTCTTAAGAAACTTACGCTGATTTACTACCACAGTAAAAATGCTGTATGATGCTAACTTTCAATTAGTGTCATACAGCTTTGTGCACACGTGTAAATAAAAACAGTTGAGCATAAAATCCGCTAGCAGTATAAACTTAAGGATGGGGCTATTAAAAACAGGTAAATAGGAAACGTGCATAACAAACTACTTGAACTAATTTACATTATTTAACAAAAACTAACAGCATTGAGTTATTTAAATGCAACTTCATCTTTAGCTTCAATTTTAAAAGATATTAAGATAACACCAGATTCACGACTTTATTCTGAGTTCTTTTAATAAACAACTTCATCAGCTACATCTTATATAAATGTCATGTTCTTCTGACCTTAAAAACTGTGACAGACTAATGTAATGTAACATAATGTAAATATACAACCAGTTTTAAAGTGCCTGTGACATCTAGGATAACATTATAAGCACATTGCAAAAATTAATAATTTCACACCGCTGATACAAACAGTCGTTGAGATATTTGGTCTCAAATGATGTCATTGGTGAATGTGCAGTAACAGGAAGTGATGACAGAAAGGAACGCCTGCATGTAAACTGGGCATTGCTACAATGCCTAAAAACACATACAGTAACAAAGAATTTAGGGGTGTCAAACTCACTTACAAAAAGGGGCCAAAATTACAACTTTTTTAAACTAAGGGCCAGTTTCAGAATCTACATGAACTCAAGTTAGATACCCAACATCTTTTCTTGGTTGCATGTTCCTCAACTAAAGTTTAAATAGTTTAATTTGACATTCCCTGTCGCACTTTCGACATCATAATCAAAGATTATTGAAAAAAATTCAAGTGATAAAAGTATTTTACGTTTAACATATTATCTTGAGGGCCAAATAAGATGTCAACGAGGGCCACATTTGGCCCCCGGCTCTTGAGTTTGGCACATGTGCTTTAGCTCATCAGATGGCAGAGCACTAGTTTTGGGCACTGCTCCTTAAATGTTGTGAGGCTGAGGTAAAGCCAAAAGCTCAACATGTCTGCCAAGCGACCAAAGGCGAAGCTGAACCGTTCCCCTTTGTTCCCACTTGTGATGCACTTGTGATGCACTTGGCTGCAAAAAAAGTATGACTGTTCAGTGACAAAAAAGGTTTTGCCAAATTAAAATGTTTTATTCTATTTGTTATATTTGTAGGAAATGCATGTCACAGGCACTTTAAGCTGTTTTATTTTTTCACTACTGGAGGCACAGAGAACATTCAGCATCATACTAAAAAAGAAAAAACAACCTAAATTAAATAAAATAGCTGAAAGTTATTGATTATAGATGTATCCTTCACCACTGAGAGCTGTCACAGCAAACATGTCCATCTGTTACTGTATATACAAAACATGTTTTAGAACCAACTATGATATCATACTATGAAGCTTTTAATGGAAAGTGATAAAGTGATGTTAAATTTGTAATTAAGGCAGATATTCTGGCTGTTAAATGAAATTCTAAAATGCGGAACCATGTCCATTTTAACTCTCAACTTATGTAACATACATCTTGAATTAAATTAAGGCTTTCCAGCTAATATGATCAACTTTATTAATATAAGAAGTAAATATCTTACTGTGTCTACACCCTCCTTCTCCAGCTTGGCTCTCTCAAAATAGAAGTTTTTCTCGGCTACACTGAGCCTTTTCCAGCTCTCACTGATTTTTTTGTTGACCTCTGATTGTGGTATATTTTGGGATCCAAGCTGCATGACCTGATGGACATCAAAGTAGTACAGCATGTAGGCAGACCTAAGGCAAAATTAAAAAAACACAAACTCAATTAACACATGACCAAATGTAAGTTTTTATTTCCAGGCTCATTCATTACATTGCTCACATTACCTTGGCTTCTTGGGCCTCTCAACATTGTCCTCTTGAGCTTTGTTTCTTATCCTTTTCAGGGTGGCCACGTCCATTTCTGTGCACTCGCTGTCCAATTCTTCAGTCACGTTCTCATCCTCAAACACCTCCTTTTTGTCCATGTTTTCCAAAGGTATCTATGACCGTGTCAAAATGTTTTATCATTCGAGCTTAAAACACATAAAGGAGGAATAATTTACAGAAATGCTGTGACACATGTCCCAATGATCATTAAAAAGAAAAAAAAAACTACATTACAACTTAATGTAACAAGGATGCATTGCATCGAAGAGTGTGCAAATAAAATAAAGATGCATTTCATCTGATTCAAGAGTAATGTAGGCGCTTTCTAGCAGGACGATAGGTGTAAGTGTTGCAAAACATACAGTTACTAAATAAACCCAAGAGGTTGCATGTAAAACATGGGCTCTTCTCTGCTTTACAACCAGGGTTAATGGCGTGTTGTAATACTGCCTGTACAGCCATTCTGTTGTCCAATGAAAAGCCTTCTTGTTGAAGTCTTACCTACGATTTCCCGTGGCTCCAGAAACTGCGCTAAAACAGCCCTTAGAAGTCACCAGGGAAGCCGGGCGTTGCGTCGACGATGAGTATCGCTGTAAATATTCTTCGCCTCATGTTTTAGGAGAAATTTACAGTGTATGAATGTCCGTAAAAGCTGAAACTAATCTCCTTTCCCCGTCGTCTAGTAGGAAAAAACATGGCGGTTTGTTGCCAAGGCGCTTAACCAATCACATGCCTCGATGGAGCAGTATAGACCAATCAGAAAAGAGGTTTAAAGTCACGTGAAAGTTGCGCTTGCGCGCTACAGACCACCCGAGATGCGTTTGTGAGCGTAGGTTAGCGCAGCTTTTTAAAACGGATTCTGTGTCCACGCGTCTCTGATTAAATTCACAATTGTTTAAACGTGACCAGAAGGTTCTGTTGATAAGTAAAACTAAACTTTTAAAATACAGTTAAAATATTATTTTCTGTTCTGTTTTCTGAACAGTCGTTCCTCTGGGATCTATCTCACTTTGACTGGCATCCTATTTTATTAATTGACGCTGTGAACTCCGCTTGGAACTATTTTCATAATAGTTTATTTTGTGAACTAACCTGCTCCTTTTTGTCAGTTCAGAATAAAGGGACGAGACAGCCCCTGGTTTACTCCAGAGCTAGCTGACCTCCTGCACAGGAGAGATCATCTTTGGGCCACAGCAAGAAAATCTGACTCAGACACTGATTGGTTTGAGTTTTCGACAGATGAGGAATAAATGCACAACTGCTGTCAAAGCTGCAAAACGTAACTATTTCTTATCTCAGACCTCCAAAAATCTAAATGACCCCAACAGATTCTGGAAAACTATCAAATCTCTCTCAGGCACCCCCCAATCATCTGACCTCCCATCACAACCTCGTTAACTCTGTTCCTGTGTCAAATAAGCACGAGATCCTGAACTGTTTCAACAAACATTTTGTTGCTTCTGGTTCTTTATTTGACACAGTCACTAATGGAAAATCAGCCACTTCACTTAATAACCAAACTTCTACAAATCAAATCCCTCCTACAAGTCAATCCTCAGTTAATCACACCTTCTCTTTTTCTCCATTCTCAGTCAGTGAGGTTATTAAACTGTTAAAAAGATCTTGATCCTAAAAAATCTGCAGGTCCAGATGAACGTCCACCTTATTTCTTAAGGCTGGCTGCTCATATCATCACAGTCCCTGTGACCCACATCTTTAATCTCTCAATAAGCCAAAACTCCATTCCAGACACTTGGGAAACAGCCTTTGTTCTTCCTTTGCTGAAGGGAGGTGACCCCACATCACTGAACAACTATCGACCAATCTCTAAACTCTGCATTTTAGCCAAGGTTCTAAAAAAACTGATAAACTCTCAAATCAAAAATTACCTGGACTCATTTAACATCTTACCTCCACATCAATCTAGTTTCAGGAAACAACACAGCACAACCACTGCTTCACTGAAGGTTCTTAATGACATCGTTGAAGCATTGGATGCTAAGGATTACTGTGCTGCACTTTTCTTAGACCTGTCTAAAGCTTTTGACACTGTGGATCATAACATCTTGTCTCATAAGCTCTCAGAAATCGGTTTCTCAGATCACACCATTGGTTGGTTCTCTAACTATCTTTCAGATCAGAGGCAATGTGTTCAACATAATGGTACTTCCTCCAGTTATTTAACAGTCAACAATGGTGTACCACAAGGCTCATTCTTAGGACCCACCCTCTTTACAATCTACATACATAATGTAGGTCAGATCATCCCTTCATTTCTATGCTGATGACACAGTTGTTTATTGTCGAGCTAAAACAGTTGATAAGGCTTTCCAGCTTCTGCAATCTGCATTTAACATCATCCAGTCAGATTTATTCCATCTCAAACTGGTCCTAAATTCCGATAAAACCAAAGGGATGCTTTTTTCAAACAGGAAGTCGGTTCCAGCAGTTCTTCCTCTGATTTTATCCTGAAATGGTGTCCCTATTGAGTTTGTCAATTCCTATAAATATTTGGGTATCTTGGTCGACTCACATCTCTCTTTTAAGCTCCATGTGGAAAACTTGGTAAAGAAACTGAAAGTTAAACTGGGTTTCTTTTTCAGAAACAGATCCTGTCTAACTCTGAATGCTAGGAAACACCTTGTATCTGTGACTTTCCTTCCCTCCATTGATTACGGTGACAATATTTACATGAACGCTCCTACAAACACCCTGCAGATGTTGGATGCTGTCTATCACGGTGCACTAAGATTCATAACTGGCTGTGATTATTGTACCCATCACTGCACCCTGTATTCACTGGTTAATTGACATCATTAACTTCACGCAGACTCTCACTGGTATATTTTCATCTTTAAATCACTTCTTGGTCTGCTGCCTTCATACATATCCTCCTACATTTGTTTGAGTGAGTGCAGCTACAGCGTGCGCTCTCAGGACATTATTACCTGCAGTGTTCCCTCAGTGCGGACTGAACTTGGCAAAAGGGCCTTCTCCTACTCCGCTCCTGTTTCCTGGAATATCTTACAAAAACACATGAAGCTCTTGACCTTGACCTCTCTAAGTGGCTTTAAGAATCTGTTGTGGTACAGACGGCTGAGGTCTCTAAAAACTTGAGTACACAATTTCGTTCCACCTCATGTACCACATGTGATGCAAATGACAATAAAGAAATTTGAACTTGAAACTTTGACTTGTTCGTACTCAAACTTCTCCACTTTCTGTTCAATTTATCTCCCACTCCTGCACAATCCTGACATCACTGTGGGTCAGCTCCTGGTCATCTTCCAGCCCTGCAGAGAAGAGGAACAATATGATCTACTGCAGAAACAATAAATGCAAACCTCTTGTTTAACTGCAAGAAACAAAGAGCAAGCAGCGAGCCAGGATGAAGTTTTATACCTGCGTTCGTTTGTTGTTTCCTCTCAGCACAGATGACCTATGTGCTGACAATGAAGAAAAATATAAGTGCAGAGAAAACGCCAACCATTAGAGGCCATTGCTTTGTTTAAAAATTAAAAATAAAAAAAAACAGGAGAAGCATTGATTTTTAATTCAGCTATCTGACTCCTTTAAATTTTTACGTCTAAAACAAATCTTTTCTGTCTTGAATGTTTCTTTTGGATCACTTCTCCCAGTCCCAAACCCAGATAAAGGAGGAGTGTTGGAACTGTGACAATATAAAAAAAACATCAACAATAAATGGAAGAAAATACATCCGTAGTTCTAAACATAGCTACTGTACTGTTTTATATATTTTTACATTCATTTTTAGGAGAAATTACCTTTTTAGGAAGTTGGTGTTGCTGTTTGCACTTAATGTGTGCAAAAATATCTCTTTTATATCCAAATAAAACAGTAAGAAACTAAATTATATGTCATTTTAATGATCAGATGCATTCAGTGGTGGTTTAGGGTGGTTGATATTAATTTCTAAACAAAGTACATGAAAAAATATTTATGAGGCAGGACCCTGATACATGATGATTCAGTAGCCTGTCTGGCTTATTTTATTTTTCAAAGTTTATAACAAATGAACAAAACAATGTTAACCAGGGGTACTGCACATATAAATATATAAAATTATTATTATTAATTTTTTTTAAAACTTTATTTAACCATAACAGTACACAACAAAAAGTACCAAATCTTACAATCGAAAGTTACAAAAGGTGATTCATAACACAATGGAAATAAAAGAAATAAAGAAGGATAAAGAGAGAAAAAAAAACAATCAAACAAACAAAAAAAAAAACATTATATGAGGAAATTGAAATTAACTAAGAAACTAAGAAATTTGTCAGCATTTTTCCCTTTTACATATTTTAATGATTTTGCATAGGACTTTATCTCATTCTTCCAGTGGTTCACATTAGGTTTACATTTGAAAAAGCGACATTTATGAACATAATGTTTAGCTAATATAATCAAATTATTGATAGCATATTCATTATTTCCAATCTTATTAATTAACCCAAATTTGCTTTCTTTTAAAGTGAGAGTAAGTAGCTGAATCCCTTTGGATTCGATCCACATTTTAAAATCAAGCCAAAATTGCTGAACTATCATGCAGTCAAAGAAAAGATGTTCCAGGTTCTCACTCTCTGTCTCACAAAAAACACAGTTCCCAGTGTCCATTTTAAATTTTGTCCTTAAAAATTCCTTAGTAGGATAAATTCTATTTAAGATTTTAAATTGAATTTCTTTGGCTTTAGGAGGAACCGGAAATGATATAAAATTAGTTCTGATCTTTTTGATGTCTTCTTTACTAAAGTCCTTCAGAATATATTCTCTTCTAATTAAGTTAGGAGAGAAGTGATGCAGTAGTTTGTTTCGCAACAATTTATTGTTCCATTGATAGTCAGAGAAAGCAACTCCATCATACAGAGTTGTTTCAGACCAGGGGAAATATCAGAGAATATAATATCTTGTCTCACCATAGCCCTAAGAGAGACTGGAATAGCCTTTAAAATTTGGTTATATTTAATCTCATCACAATGGAACTGAAATCTTTTACAGAACTCCTGATATTGTAAAATGTTTCCTTCGTTGTCCATAAAATGGGCCACGGCCCACACGTCTTTAGAACACCATTCCTCAATAAATATAGATTTTTTATTAATCAGAATGTACCTATTGTTCCACACAGGTGTAATGTGTGGTGTGAAATTATGACTGAAAATGAGTTTCCAGTAAAGAAGAACCTGTTTATGAAAATCTGAAAGTTTCAC